TTGCCGCCATATTGTTTTCTTCTGCCGGTTGGATTGCCAAAGTCATTCTTGCGCGGCTTTTTTCTACGCGGCGGTTCCTCTATTCTTATTATTCCGCCGCGGTGTAATGGTAGAATAGGAATGGGGTTTCTTTTATAAAATTGTGAATATTTGCTTACTACGGCAAAAAACGTCAATATCCGCACTTAAATTGATACAAAACCAACTGTATAAAGGATATATCAACTAATTTTTATAAAATATTTGTTAATTTTTGTTGCACTAAAGCGTTTTACACCCATTCATAACAATATTAGTGTAGTCAAGTTATCGGAATTTAGGTCTAACTTCTGAAAAAATTATATACAAATGTTTATGAGTGGGAACATATACACATATAATGTGGGAACATATACACAGATAATGTGGCCCTAGATGACATACTAAAAGTCCCGTAGATTCTGACAATGGCAAGTTGCAAAAAAGTGGCCGCCAATAGCTTTGTTTGTTTATTTGCACCAATATGGAACTTTCTACTCCAAATGTATTTTAATCCCTATTTTTTTGTTAGTCTGACAGAGACAGACAGATTTTTTGCTGCACCTGGTGCAGCTTGGTGTAACTTTGGTGCAAATAAACAAACAAACCCATTATGATCGTCTCGACCGGCTGCTGCGATTTATTAGAGCAGGAAGATCAGGCAACTTCACAATTACTGTTTAAAATTGATGATCCCAATATTTTACGCAACACCTTCATCTACAACAGATTCAGAAACTTCATAGTAGGTATGAGTACTGAAAACTATGAAAAATTTGTTGATGAAGGAATGTTCACTTGTAAGAAGAACCAACAACTTTTGGTCCGGTACTTGGACCGACATAGTGATCGAGCAGAATTTGATGAGGTCAATCAAAACAACTGGTGGCCTAACTTATAGACGCGGATTTACTAATTCGTCTTTGGCCAGATGGATTGCTGATATGTCAGTTTGTACCTATGCCTGTTACAAAAGCTTTTGGAATGTAAGTCTGTGACTTCAGAATAGCATATAGAATTGAGTCGCTCACGCCAGCAACTTGACAAAACTGATTCGCGAAAAATTCAAGATTGGCTAAAATACAATCCTTATAAATGCAAGGAGTTAGGAGTTCATGTCAGTTTTGTCTGGACGAATAGCTAAATCCGATATAAACTGCGATATAGCAGATAAAATTGGAAGAACAGTACTAACAAAAAATATAGGCAAAGTATTCATAGATATTAAATGCAAGCGAACGGATCAACTCAAAAAACTTTCACAAATGAGCAACATTATTAAAATTAATCAGAATTATGTTAAGGTGTCCTGTATACAATTATTTAATAGCACTGGCGTAACTAGCCATCTGACCAGGGAGGGCCTAGGGTGGGCCTAGGCTGGGCCTGGCAGAGGCGCCGATTTTTGAAAGTCCTCATGGGTGCAGGATAATATTTTTATTTTGTTTATAGGGCGAGGGGGAAGCTCGCCGCAGGCGCTGGCGAAGGCGAAATTTTTTCACAGTGTATACAGGTCTGGCAAGTGAACATCTTACATGCCAATTTAAATGCAATAGAATGGAACGTCTAGAAAAAGTCTAAGGTTGAATAGAGAACGGAAACGATTTCCCTTGTTCCACCTCCAGCGTTCCAAGCGCTGCATGCTGGAGGTGGAACAGGGGAAATCGTTTTCTATAGCATAGAACTGACCACAAATAACAAAAGGACAGAATACTAATACCTTCCTAATCTAAGACTAATACCACTTGTATATTTCTTATAAAAAGTTGTGTAAATTTGAATAACATGATACCCACGAGAGCTCCGAGCACCCATGAGAGGTTGCTTATGGGAGCACCTGCCCCCATGTACTCGGCGCCAGTAGCCTGGGGCCTGTTATTGTAACTTATTGGAATCTTTAAAAAAGTAGAACAGTGCATTTACTCAGGTATGCACCGTAAGCTAATTTCGAGGATTAGTTATGGAAACCTGGATTAGATATAGTATGTAATTTTAAGATACAAGAGTGGATGGGATATATGTTAGATCCGTTATTCTATGGATGGGAACGAGATAGAGATGAACATCTTGCGCCTACATCCGTAACAAAAGAAATTGCCCCCTCTGATATACTAAAAATGGTATTCTGTAATTGCAAGGAAGGGACATGCAACAAGGCATGTTCCTGCAGAAAACTTGGATTAAAATGTTCTGCAAAATAAGTCAATGCTCAGGAATGATTTGCTGGAATTCGTGCATCGTATATGAAAATGATGAAGATGATATTACTTATAATTGAACGTAGTAGGTACCTATTCTTTTGTGAAACTGGAAAAAGTCAGTAATTATTTAAATACATGTTGCTGATACATCCCAACAAATGTAAATTTGCATTTTAAGTAAAAAATATCCCTACACTTTTCCTCATAAACCTGATAGTTTTTGAGATATTTGCAATAAAATGTAAAAAACAAAATGGCGGCCGTTTTTTTCAACTTGCCAGAGACATAATCCATGGGACTTTTAGTATGCTGTTTAGAACGTTACTCCTCGTACATTTTTGTTAAGAAATGCTTGTATAGAATTTTTTCAGGTTCAAAATCTCACTTGCCTACACTATATGAACTTTTACATTTTCCAATGCCATATAAAATAATGATAATTCCGAGAGGACAATCACTATGCTTACAAAATTTACAATGATTTCCATGTTTGGCAATCACCAATCAATGAATCTCATGTATTCCCATCCCAAGAATTGCGATTGATTGCCAATGATTTTCAGATATTTTTGTATAATTACCAGGTGATTTCCATTTTTCCTGGGGATTCCTATATCATTCCCAATTGATTACCTGATTTCCCACAATCATCTGATTTTCAGCTGAACTAATTGATAAGCTCGAGCTCGAGGATAGGCTCCACCGAGGGCTTCACATTGATATGATCAAAATAAACAGTATTTTCTCCGAGATTTTCTCTTATAAAAACACTTTTCCACTGAAAAATAGTTGTCACACCCACACCGATTTTGTTGTAGGCTCGGTTGTAGGTATAAATAATTGTTGAGCCCTAGATTCCATTGTGTGTCTACACTGCATAATATGGATCCAAAATAATGGATATTTTTGTGATTTCACTAGGATGTTCATCTGAATCAGAGACATCTTCAGATGTGCTATCGTCTCTGCTTCTCACCCTGCCTAGTATTTATTCTACTTCTTCTTTTCAAGTTGTAATTGGCTTGAATTCCCGACTTTTTCTTTTGTGTCTTTCTCAGGGACATTCCCATAGCTCCTAATACTCGATCAACAAACTTCCCCTCTTCTCTGAAAAGAACGAAATTAAAGTTGAACCCTGAATAATCTCTTAATTGTAGCGAATCGCAATTGCTAAACCCTGATGTGTGAAGAAATTCTTTGTCTTCTTTTGGCAAGTCGGATTCGAGAGAGGTTTCAAGACTCATATTTTCTTTTTTATGATCTACAACATTGCCATATATTAGGTCTGTTCTCACAGAAATCACAAACCAGTCTGAGCGAATTTCATTGGTTGAAAATAGTTTTGCACCAATCAAAAACGCTCTGACTGTTTTGTAATTTCTTTGAGAACTGAGAACAGACCTAATTTTCATCTCGTTCTCCTTCCATCAACAAAAATATCAAAAACAAATTTTTTCGAAACATCTTTTCAAAAGAGAAACAGAGTTAGGGTTAAAGATCTTGAAAATATTATCTCTTCGTCTCAGCCTTCTATCTGGTACATTAAAACATATCTTGTGAAGTAAGTCAGGTACAGTAGCACGTTTTACGCTTTGGCTTACTATATTAAATATCAACAACATATCTTTAAACGCTCTACACTTCCTAAGTTCCACAATACCAAATTCATCATCAAGTTGGGATTTATATGAGATGGGATGAGGGTAACAAGGATAAATCCGTGTTTCTTAAAAAAACATAAACCTCAGAAACTTTTTTTGGATTCTCTTTAGCATGTCTTTACTCTTTGTGGTACATTGTTGTAGGGTTCCATATTGTACTGGCATATTCCAGTTTTGATTTTACATATGCATTAAAAAGAAGTGTGTAAGTCTTTGAGTTTTTGAAGTCTGCACAGGAGCGGAGTACAAAACCTAACTTCCTCATCCCATCATTCCCATCTGCATACAAAGTATCAATGTGTCTACCAAACGAAAAGCCCTCAGAGAACATTATTCCTATAGGTCAGATATCTCCTGAACTCTGTCCAGCGCCATATCATTAATCTCCGAGGGGTAAACGGCAGGGGAATTTTGGTGTACAATCTTCAGGAATTAGTGAAAATTTAGAGGAATTATTGGGGAATTAGAGAAATTACAGGGGAATTAGTAAGAGAATGGTGGAATTAATGGGGAATTATAGAAAGCAAATCAGTCAACATCACATAGAACTGCTAGGGATCCAGTGTATCCAATGGAACATAGATGGATTTCATCAATCTGTTTTATATTATTTCATTTTTTAAATTTTTCGTGAAATGACATGCATTTATTGCGTTTTGTTGTCCAAAAGACTGATGAATCTGGGTCGTGTGCCTAATACAACTCGATTACTCAAAAATTCTACTAGCTCAAACAATCGAAACAGATACGGTGATGCTACAAAAAAATTGCAGTATACCTGCTTTATATTGGGGGCAGGTTATTTTATATATACAGGGTGTACCATTTAAAACAAAACAGGCTAAATATCTGATGCCACGTTTATTTTCAAAAAAATCGCTCGTACACGTGATTTGATTTTTAAAGGGGGAAGTTTTCTGCAACCATTTTTAGCACTTCTACTTTAACCCTCTAGGCGGGGTGGAACCAACCCTTACTATTTCAAATGGAACAAGGGGTCGAGTGATACCTCTTTTAAAAGAGCGTTCATTTCTCTTCCATTTGATGTCATTCGAAAGAAAATTGAACACTCTTTTAAAACAGGTATCACTCGACCCCTGTTCCATTTGGAATGGTAAGGGTTGGTCCCACCCCCCTAGAGGGTCAAGTTAGTGCTGAAAATGTTTCAAACACTCACACAATCAAATTGCGCGTACAAGCGATTTAAAAAAAAAAAGTGACATCAGATATTTAGCCTGTTTTGTTTTAAATGGTATACACTGTATAATTATCGGTTTATAACGTTCTACTTCTTCCGATTCCCGATCTCCAACCATCTCTAAAAATCCAGGCATCCTCCTCCAAGCCTCTGTCTATCATTTCTTCGTCCACTCCACTTCTCCAGCTTCTTCTTGGTCTGCCGCATCTTCTTCTTCCTCCGGGCTTCCACTCAATAATTTGCTTGGGTATTCTTGTATCTGCCATTCTTTGTACATGTCCGAACCAAATCAGCTGTTTGTCCTCTATATCATCTACTATTGTGTGTTTTACATCCATTAATCTCCCTAATTCTCAGATTTGTTATCCTCTCCATTTTTGACCTGCCTGCCGATCTCCTCCCAAAAGTCCATTTCAGTTGCTTCCAGCATTTTTGCGGTTCTGTTCTTTAGTGGCCAGACTTCTGAACTATATGTGACTATGGTGTTGTATATTCTATACTTTATTTTTTCCCAAGATAGATTTTGACATTGAAAACTTTGAAACATAAACAATAACGCTTGACCCTAATTGGTCGCAAAATGAGGTGTTTCTGCAGGTTGACATCAGTTTCACAATAGCGACCAATAAGCGGCATTAGTGGCATTGTTTATGTTTCAAAATTGACAATGCCAAAATCTATCTTGGAAAAAAATAAACCATAGTTTTGTTAGTTTTGTTGATATTTTGGTCCCACAGTACACCATTTAGTAGGGATATTGCCTTCCGTCCTTGTATATTCCGATCTTTAAGTGCTTCGTCTAGGGTTCCTTCATGTGAGATTTTCATGTCCAAATATTTGTATTCAGTACATTGGTTTATTGCTTGTCTGGTATTCAATTTCAGAGTTCGTTGTTCACCTCCAATAGTCATATATTGTTTTAGTTAGATTTACTTCCAAACCCAGGTTATTTTATAAAACTCTCGCAAATTTAAAGAATAGTTTGCCGTCAATTTCTACGCTGGATAGATTCCTGGGAAGCCTGAGTCAACAAGGTACGTTTCCTGCCACTTCTGCTAAAGCAATCAAGATATATATTCTAACTGGAGTACAAGCAGTACATGCCTATCTAATAGTAGCTCAACCGTTACATGCTGGGGCATCGACATACTGTCTGTCCTTATTCGGAACTGATAATTCATTTACTACTGAGCATGGGGATGGATGAAGGAGGAAGCTAAGAAATTTGGCATTACAATTATGGGATTTTCCCTCCTTTTTTCCCTAGGATTTGTCCTAGGGATAATCGCCTTCTCAGAGATATGCATTTAAATACTGAAAAACAAAACAATCCCAGCAGAAACAGAACTACTCCATTCTTTGCCAGTTCCAGATTGGGAGTGGTACCTATACAGCATTGAAAAAAAATGAAGAATGATATGTTCAAGACATGGCACATATTTGAATAACAAATATGTGTAAAGTTCGTTTCACCAGGGTTCATACTTGACCTTGAAACTTGAAGAAAAAGGGTTGTCGTTGATTAATTCATATGACACATTCAATTTTTTTGACAAATTAAAATGAATGACTTCTGGTTTAAGAACCGACGAACATTTTTAACGTCATTGATTTGTTCCAGTCAATTTTTATTTGTTAAACAGGGAAGGCAAATCCTGGTGGCAAGTACAAACCCTGGTGAAACAAACACCTACTCGTTTCCCAAAACCTGGAATAAAAATGCCAGAACAAAAACTACCATATAAAGAAGAAATTCTCAATTTGGATATTGAAGCTACAGTTGAAACTCACAACAAAATGCCATAGTGGATATGAGTCGATTCGGTCTCAATGCTAAGGAAAGAAGCTTAACCAGTTTCTAGGCCACCTGAACGCGCAATATCCTAGCATAGAATTTACTATGGAAAAGGAGAAAAGCCAAGAAATCGCCTTCTTAGATGTGCTCATAAAGAAAACTGGAGGAAAACTAAGCCACACAGTGTCCCAAAAACCTACACATACAGACAAGTACCTACATGCACTCTCAAACCACCATCCAAGGCAAAAACGTGGAATTATAACAACGTTAACAGAACGTGCTCGGAACATCTGCGAGCCACAAAATCTCGAGCAAGAACTGGATCACCTCAAGTCGCCCTTTCTATCAAATGGTTACAATGCATCTGAAATTAACAGGGCCATGCGACCCAAAACTGTCACACGAAAAAACGTGGATGAACAACCAGTGGTGGCTAATGCAAATCTGCCTCGATATCTGCCTTTCATTTCTCGGGTGACAGACAGGATAGGGAAAGTCTTGAAGAGACACAACAAACAATCTTCAAGCCAACAAATAAAATACAGCAATCAATCAGATCAGCCAAGAATAAGAGGAACCCACTGTCAAGCACTGGAGTCTATCATATACCATGCACATGTGGTAAGATATATATAGAAACGACAAAAAGATCCATGGGAACCAGGATGAATGAGCACAAAAGAAACTGCAGACTAGGACAATCGGAAAAATCGGCAGTTGCGGAACATGCGCTTAGTGAAGGGAATCATAAAATACTCTTTAGTGAGGTCGAACTTCTTGCACCGATTTCCGGATACCACAATCGTCTTGTACGTGAAGCTATAGAAATCCACAAACATACGGAGAACTACAACAGGAAAGAAGAAACACTAAAACTTAACCAAATCTGGAACCCGATCCTCAAAAACGCAAGAAAGATCTCATTGAGCACAGAGAAAGTTGAGATTAGCCAAGTGCCGCGAAGCCCCGCCCCTACCCCACCACTGCCACTTACACATAAATACAACCTACGGTCAGGAACGCGTCAGTCTGCTACCAGAATCGGACATGGAAGCACCTCTGAAGATGTTAGCCACGTCGAGAAGAAATTCCAACTTACAACGGTCATTAAGCCGGAGTGAAAATACCTTATCAATAAACGCTGGGATCACGACAAGTATAATTCCACTTAGTTGCGAAGGTAAAATTACCGGTAATTTACGTAATATTGCCTATATCCTGGTAAAATTGTCCAAGAATTATAAACACGGGTGTCATAGTATTCGTAGCAGTAGAGACTTCAAAATGATTAGGGAAACCAATGATGTGTGTTAAACTTAAACTTGTCTCTCTTCATCTTGAAAAATAAAAAGCAGTAAAGTTAAGAGTAGATGGTAAAGTACGTCGACAATCACCATGTTGATTTATGTGTCAATATTTTGTTATATTATTATTAACACATTATTCTTACTTCTTTGTAAACTTACTCTTTATTCTAAATGAAATTTAGCCAAATAATTAATTATATACCAGCTATAAAAGTAAACATTTTTAATTTATTTCTTAAAAAATTTCATCTCACCACCATTAGTATGTATCTTACCAACATTAGTAGGTATTCTACAATTAAAATCAATGTTGCATTATTGTAGTATCACCAAGATTTTTCAATTTTACCAATTTCACCGGTGTTATTACGTAAAATTACCGGTAATTTTACCCAAAGGATTCAAATTTTCTGACAAGCACAGCGTAGTTAACCTTGTCAAAGACTTTCGCTAGATCAGTATACACAACATCTGTCTGAGATCCAATCTCCAGAGGTTACTGCTCAAATATTCAGAAAAAAACACTCAGATTAGTGACAGTTGACTTATTTTTACAGAAACCATGTTACTATGGAATAATTACTCCTTGCATGTGCTGACTAATTTTAGTATGTACGATTCTCTCAAAAATCCTTGACAATGCAGGCAAAAAAGTCGCAGGACGATAATTCTCGATGAGATGTGTATTTCTATTCTTATCAGTCGGTGTTATAATATGACCAATCTTCAAATGATCAGAAAAACAATCGGCATCCAGGGATTTTTTCACTATAGTTTGCAGAGGGATCTGTAAAATATTCAGATAAGCTTTATAAAAATATGGTGGTATTCCATCTACGCCAGCAAATGCCCTGGGTTTTAGACTTCTCACTGCCTCTGAAAAATCAATCAACAGTAACAATGCCGAGCGAGAAAGCATCCAAATCATAGTCCACTAGAGAATCAATATTACCATTAGGCGACAAACCACTGTCTGACTACATATCTTGAAAAATTGCCTTAGCAATAGAATTTTTTTCAGCGATTACCGCATGATTCTCAGTGATTGCCAGTGAATTCCTATGTGACTCCCATGGAGTGCTAGGAGATTCCTAGCGATTCCCAGGGACACCCAAGTGATTTCCATGTATTCTTGATTGAATACTATGTGATTCCCAAAAAAATGTACAATGATTTCTACTAGTGGTTTACCTCTCGGATGTACAATGATTTCTACTAGTGGTTCACCCCTCGCATAATTCTATTTCAAAATTTGTTAGAAGACCCTGCGTACCAGTTTCACACAAGAGTTATTTTGTTTAAAGAATCTCCTAGTAGGAGCTATAAGTTTTAATTAGAATTAAGGCAATAATTTTTACACAAAACTATTATTTTTTCAAATCTAGGCAACACTTTCTAAAACATTTATATCCAAATTCATTTTGTCTTTAATCTTCTGCATTAAATAAGGTATTTTTTCAAAGTCTGCCATCTCTTGCCAATTATCTGTATTCACTGGAAGCACACTACATTGTAAAGTTTCTTCTAAAATAGTTAGAGTCTTTGAAGGCAGTCCCCTTAAAGTATTTGTATTAATTGTGTAAAAGTTATTGTTGACAGCCCAAATTAACAGTCTAAAACAAAAACAGTATATTTCTAAAAAATCACAAATTAAAAGGTATTACTCACAGTTGTTCAGAAGGACTTCCTAACTTAATATCCTCTACAAACTCTACTGATTGTTTAAACGGTACTGGGGAACCATTGCTAAATATAATGGCGTGATCTAAAACAATTTTTTTTTCAGGTGACTACTTTTCTGTAATTAATTGGACAGCGATTAGCAAAAACAGGACTAACCAAAGAATGCTTCTAAATGTTTTTAACCCCACTCTCTTAGTGAAAGAAATTTACTAAATATTTTTTAAACAACAGCAAATGTGATAGCATATTTTATATTTATAGAGTTAAAAAGAGTTTGTAATAATTATGATTATTATAGGGCAAAGTTGCAAACATTTTTTTTTTTTCAAGAACTTGTTTGCAACTTTGAAAAATGTCCATGTAACAGGTTAGATCCTAGCTTTTTACCTACCTACATTTAGGTAATAACTGCACCTACTACCTACCTATTTGAACTCCTAATTTTGAAAACAGATTTGTCTTAACAAACTCTTTTCCACCAAACGCAGTTTGTAAAGCACCGTCAAGAGGAAATACTTCTTTTCTCAATGCATCTTTGACCAAATTTTTGGGGTTTACTTGCGATGGCAATAGTTGAACCAAGTCAGGTTTGTAAGCTGTTAAATATTGCCATATTGCAAAGTAATTTTCAAAATCTGATTGGAAACCTAAAAGAAATTAAAAAAAATTAGGCTGTTCTGCTTAATAATAAAGTATTAACAAAGATAATTATTGTGTTTACACAAAAAATTTTAGAAGAAAATTTATATATTGATGTATTTATGTATTATAATTTTTTACATTCTAATTGGTGTGTTTCAACAAGAATTTTCCTATAAATTATATAATAAAAAGTAATTTCTGCTAAGTATTGTGGCTGGAACACACCTACTTATTGTTTTTATATTTTTAGGCTTTTGTACAAAATTGATAATTATTGTTCGCTTTTTTCCTTAATAAAACTATTTATTTTTTATGTAATTTACCTTTATCCAAAATGTGCGTTACATAAGTTTCATTCAATGCCCTTGATAATATGTCGATTTTGCAAATATCGAGAATGCAAAGGGCAGCTGCAAATCGAATCCAAATAATTTCCCTGCGATTTGCTGTTGCCAAGTTTTTCGCACTACTCATCCAACTTTTCAAATTGTCCCAATGAGCCGGACGGTAATCGGTAAGGACCATGTTTACAACAATACTGTAAATGTCGGCTGCATCTTGTTCAGTTTCAGGATTTAAGTGAATGTAGTTTGCAGTGTAGTCTAACAAACGTTGATTGAAATGATTCTGAAAATATGAAAATTAATTCAATGGACTAAAAACTAATGAAGCAAAATAATTAATTGCTATATACATTGACAATTCTTACCAATCTTGCCATGTTCCTCAAAACTCCTACTGCCCGTTTAAATCCTAAATTATGGTCAATAATATAATTGGCCACTGTATCCAACAAAACTTCCTGATAATAGAACGTGTAGCTTTTTGTATATTTATGTGCCAACTTATTCATAATTATTTCCATGCTTTTAATGGAAAGATGATCTATGTCAACTATTAGATCAGCTGTGGCTTTCTTCACTAGTGGCTCGTACAAGTCATCACGAGGTAAATGACAAATTGACAATAAAATGCTCCTAGCTGAACTTGCATCGAATACGGGACATTTTTCCAATTGTTTTATAATATAATTTATAATATCTAAATCTACATTATGCTTAACAGCATAATGTAAACAGTCAATCATTTGCTGCATATTGTCATAGTTCATTTTAAGTTTCACATTCAAACTGAATACAATTGGCAAAGCTATTAGAAGAGCTTCAGACAATGGCGTTGGCGTTTTTTCAGTGGTTCTTAATAAAAAGTCCACATAAAGAATGTGAGCTATACTAAGTGAATTAATATTTTTTCTGATTAGTTGTAGAAGCACTTGAATTATAGTACTGTTTGTTGGTACTGCCATGTAATTGAGAACTTTTAATGCTTCAATCGTGTCATTTAATTCCAAAACTCCCGAGTAACGTTTAATGTTGGAGCAAATTTTTTCAAAATCTGGATGTTTTACGAGTTGGTTTTTTGATATATCACACCTTAAATAAATAGAGAAATATAAGTGAGGTAGAGTGCAAATTAAAATTATTTTTACCTACATTCCATCTTTCTGGAGATTAAAAATTGTTCTCAAAGCTTCCATAGAGTGTTTGTCGTTCATTTTTCTATAATTTTCGTGGACGATTTCCAGTATTTTGCTTGCCGAATTTGCTGTTTGGAGGTAACTATTCAGACCATCGGGATCATTATCTGACGCCATCTTGGTAATTTCATCTAAATAATTGCAAAAAGTATCAATATTGTGGTAAAAATTATAAAAACTTGTTACTTACTTGAAAGTTTTTCTGTTGTACATGAAAGCTGGCGTAAAGTGAAGGATGTCCTCCATGGTGTTCTTGTTCTTAAGAAGTTCATGATTGCGTTTGACATTCTACTGAAGAAGATTCTTTATTTAAAAAATGCATTTTCGGACTCGGAATTAATCCCCTCCTATTTAATTCCGTGTTAACTAACTCGGAATTAATGTCCTCTCATTTAATTCCGTGTGACGGAATTAAATGGGAGGGGATTAATTCCGAGTTAATTAACACGGAATTGAATGGGAGGGGATTAATTCCGAGTTAGTTAAGACGGAATTAAATAAAAGGACATTAATTCCGAGTTAGTTAACACGGAATTAAATAGGAGGGGATTAATTCCGAGTTAGTTAACACGGAATTAATTGTGCATCTATAGCAGCAAATAAAAATTTAATAAATGTCCCTTCTACGCCTTCGTACTTAAGAAAGTTTTTAATGTTTTTAAAACAAGTGTTTCAAATAATTTGGAGAAAATAGAAACCAAGGCGATTGGTCTGTAATTCCCTGCCTCTGTTTTTGTCCCCCCCCTTATGTACAGGAATTATGATTGCTTTTTTGAGGCATTCTGGAAAAATTCCTTCAAAAAGTGACTGGATAAGATTTTTTTGATACAGTTATTAGTTTTTTTACGTTATTTCTATATAACAGATACTGCTGCCTGATAATTGCATTTAAAGATTCCTTTTTATGTTTCTTAAATAATTTATTTTCTTCTCTTATACTTTTTAATAAGCCGCTGGATATCCAGGGTTTTATTTTTTTGTTGTAACTGGAAAACTCTTTTTTCAGAACTTTCTGTTACCATAATTTTCAATGAGTTTAGAAATCTGTCAAATTTTCTAGTAAAATCCCAATTGAATTGCAGACCCAAGCAGCTCAGCGGTTGTGTCTTCGCTTTGCATGCAGTGGGTCTCGGGTTCGAATCCCGGCTAGGTGCATGGATGTTTGTTTGTTTGTTTGATTTGGTTTGTGTGTGATGTTCGAGGCTTTGTCGACAAACCACAGTGGTGGTTTCTGACAAGAAAGCAGATAAAAAAAAAAAAAAAAAAAAAAAGAATCTACTTTAATCATAGTTTGTTATAATTAATTTTTACATTATTTATTTTTGGCACCTTGACCGTGTTATTTCCAGTGCCGGCAGGTATAAGGCCTAGAATAGTATAGTGGTCTGATATATCTGAGTGAACTATAGCACTGCGTAGTTCATTCTCTTTACATTTTATAAATATGTGGTCAACACAAGTTCCCAGATTATCGTTTGAACGCGTAATGCCGTTTATACACGATGTATAACCCATACTGCTAAGAAGTGCTTTGTAATCGTCTACACTTTCTGATAATATGTTTAAGTTTAAATCTCCTGTATAATAGACTATTTCATTTTTATTAATATTGTTTAAAATTGGCTCTAACTCTGCAATGTATGCTTTCATATCATAGTCCAGAGATCTTTATAGGTAACCCTAATATTGAAAGTATTTTATTATTGTATGTAATTTAAACCTTAAGTGCTTCTGCTGTAGTCATGTTTAAAATTGTGAAAGTGAAAATGAATTCGAAAATGAAAGTTTCAGTGAAGACTCTAATGTAGGTAGAAGTAATACCTAATTCATAAAGGAGGAAGACTAAGTATAGCCTCAACTATAGCTGTGTTCCAACCGACATGAGAACCGTTCTAGAACGGAAATTTCCAGTAGAACAATTCATTTGTCAAGTAGGACAAACGTTCAACTTATTGAAAAATAGGTGGGCAACTGAAAATTACTGATTCTGGAACGGTTCTCATGTCGGTTGGAACAGAGCTATATTCGACCAGTATATTAGTATGCAGTATATTTTATGTTATGATACTGCGTGGGTACATCGGAAAAGGAAAAGTACTGCATACAGACAAGAAGAAAATCAAAGTGAAGTTTCTAAAATTGAACGTATGCCAGTTTAGATGGCCTGAGAAAGATGAAATTGATGATCTCATCTATTTGATTTACATCATAAAAATTTAAATAATATGAATGAAAAATATAAAAGTTTGAAGAAATAAGGAATACCTATGTACTGCAATAACTTGCAATAGTTCACAATAATCACAATGGTTTGCAATACCTAGAAACATTCCGCAATAGGTTGTAATGGTCCACAATACTCTCACAAAACTCTGCAATGTATGTACAAAAAAACTTCAGTGAAATCTCCTCCGATTTTGTGTTTATTTCATTATTTAGGTCCCCCCAAACTCCATACACTAAATTATTCTGACATTTAAAGTTGAAATCTTTGAAAGAAGTAAGTACGTCAGGAAATTCACCTCATAATGGTTAACGAGATTTGATTTCTAGAACTAGAGGTCCGAATGAGTTGGAATTCTCAGGGATTGTAGTCCTTCACGAGGATAAGAATCGCTGAAATTTTCAGCTTTCTATCTATACTTAATAGAAAAAAAGTTATGAATTCTCAGTTTTCAAAAATCTGAATCTATAAGCTCAAATTCTTTATTCATGTTATTATACAGAGCAGAGTACTTACACACGTCAAAAATGTAATAAAAAAAATAGAGTAAAGCACTATTCATTATATAAAAATTCTAAAAAAAAATTGTAAAACTTAATCCTAATTTACCTCAATTTAAAAAACAAGAATTTAAAAAACAAGTCAGGTACTATAGAATACATCACACTTTCAAAGGATAACATTACAATTAAAAAATTCACTAACACTATAAAATCCCTTACTCAGAAGAAAATCTTTGAAAGCCCTTCTAAAAGTATTGGGGGTAGAGGTCGAGAACTATCGATAGTCTATCGATAGTTATCGATAGTTTGGACTATCGAAAATTATCGATGGTATTTCTTGTAATATCGATAGTTTCGATAGTTGCATGTTATGAAACTTAGACAAGGAAAGAGAGAAGACGAATAACACGATATCGGAATGAAAACAAAGAAAGAGACGAAATTTTTGTTGCTCCGGTTCCACCAATCGAAATCACCATACGGTCAGATGTCCAGTGTAAATTGGAAGTGGAACCCATCGATCATCGATCCAGAATAAAGGCGGCCAATATTAATATGCTAACATTTTTACATAAAAATGTGAATTTTTAATACAATTAGGTATAATCAAATAAGTTTAAAATTTAAAAATAAAGTTTTTTACAGTGAAAGAATTTATCTTCATGTCTATTTCAGCATTTTGAAACTATCGAAAACTATCGATAATTATCGATGGTTTCTTGCCGACTATCGATAAATATCGATGGCGCCTACTATCGATAGTTCTCGACCTCTAATTGGGGGGCATCTCCCAAACGTGAGGGGGCAGCTTATTAAAAAGCCTGATCCCAAGGAAGCCAGGGCCATCTTGACCTCTTTTAAGTCGTCTGTGCGGAGGCACTAGTTGCCCACGGTTGCGGGTTTCATAGGAATGCACATTCTCATGCCTGTCAAGATTATGCAGGTTATTCCTCACATGCAGTACACATTCAAGAATGAATTGAGCAGGGACGGTCAAGATCCCTAGGGACACAAACGCGTGTCGACAGTCATCACGGTATGATAAGTTTGCGATAACCCTAACTGCACGTCTCTGGACACGGAAGACATCTGTTGCGCCAGTACAATGGCCCCAAATTAAAATTGCATAAGATATATGGGAGTGCAAAAGGGCAAAGTATGCCTGTCTCAGGACTGACTGGGATACACTGTCTAACAGCCTACGAAGTAGAAAGGTGTTTGAGCTTAATTTGGAAACCAAGGAAGATGTGTGATGATTCCATCTTAGTCTAGAATCTAAAGTTATGCCTAAGAATTTAGCAGTGACATCATCTTCCGGAAGCCATCTCATGGAAAAGACCATGTTTTGAGTTTTGGCCATGTTCAAGAACAAATTGTTGGCCTTGAACCAGAGCTCTGCCCTTTCCTGCGCCTCACGCGCCGCAGTCCTAGCTCCCTCGTAATCATGGCTGGTGCAAGCTATGGTAGTGTCATCCGCGAAGAGGGTGTACCGGGCGATGTGATCTGCTCGAGGTAGATCATTTATATAAATAAGAAACAAAAGGGGTCCCAAGATTGACCCCTGTGGTACACCAACCAGCACCTCCCTCTCCGAGGATTCCACACCACCAACCCTCATCACCTGAGGACGGTTTGACAAGTAACTAGATAGAACTGCAATACTACTATCGGAAAAATTATATTTTTTTAGTTTGGCAAGTAAAATTTTCCGTGAAACGCAGTCAAAGGCTTTGCTAAGGTCGCAGAACGTCCCGGACATGTACGTACCATTTTCAAAGGACTCTTGTATCTGAGAGACCAGATTAAGAACAGCTGATGTTGTATTTAAGCCACTCCTGAATCCGAATTGGCTGTCGGTAAACAGGTTCTCAGTCTGAAAAAAGTTAATGATACGTACAGCAAGAAACTTCTCAAAGATCTTTGAAAGTATTGGCAGTAGTGATATCGGTCTATAATTCGAGGGATCAGCAGCATCCCCCTTTTTATAGACCGGAACCACAACCGCACTCTTTAGAACCGATGGAAAGCTATTCTCTCGTAGACACTGATTCATAAGTTTAGTCAAGGGGATTATTATCAGCTCTTTGATACCTTTAATGATTTCAACTGTGAAACCAAAACAGTCTCTGCTCTTTTTGCTTTTTGTGTTGTTTATTATGTCTCTAACTTCGTTATAGGTAGCATCCTGAAAATAAAAAGTGTTTTCAGGTACTACCTGAATGAAAAAGAGTGGGTCAACATCCGAAACACCAATTTGTGCCTGTAGTTCAAGTGCTACATTTATAAAGAAATCATTAAGTTGATTAGGTGGAATATTTGGTGTTTCAGATTTTTGACTTGATACCTTCCGTTGTTCATTAATAATGTTCCACATACACTTAGTGGGATTTGTGGCACTTCTAATTAGTTTATTATTAGCTTCTATTTTGGCTTTTTTTATACAAAACCGATAAGATTTTTTGTAATTTATGAATTGTTGTTTGGTCTCTGGTGAAGGGTATTGAATTGAAAGTTCTCTTAAAAAGTTTAAAATTTCTCTCATTGATTTTAAGTCATCATTGAACCAATTGATTTCTACGGTTGACATACGTTTTTTGAGGAAATGCATGCATTAGAGCTTTAACTAAAACATCCAAAAACAGAGAAAATTTGGCATCAGCAGTTATTTGAGCTTGAATGATAGAGTCCCAAGTTACTTCGCTGATACAATGAAAAAATAGTGCCTTCGCTAGCTATCGGGTCTTCAAAAAAAAAACCAATCGAAGATTGCTTTGATTACGAAAACGTACGTCGCATTACTTTTTTTTTATTGGTCAGGATTTTTGACGTGACATTTTGACATTAAAGTTCATTGACAAAATTAAAGGCAAATATTGCTAAGACATACGTTTGAAAAAACATAGCAATCGTCGATTGGTTTTTTTTTTTGAAGACCCGATACCTTAGTACTAAAATGATGAAATTTCAAATTTTTATATGTTGAGATTTTGTGTTTAACTTATCATTTGGGACCCCCGAAACTGGATAGGGTGCCGGTACACTTCACGGACACACAAAATTAGCGTGTTTCTGAATTTTATCAAAAAGAGGGTACTTCAATTCATTTATTAGAAAGAAAAAAAATGCGGATTATCTAGTAAAAAAGGGTCTGGTATGGTAACTTATGGGTTTCAATAAAAACGGCATTTTTTGTTTTTTGAGAAAGATTCCTTCAAATAGAAAAATGTAATATAAGCTATACATAAATGCGAACAATAGGTACACATTTTCCATCAGAAAATTAATATTCAAAATGGACGATTTCACCCACCTTTCGAAAACCAATTACGAAAATTTCCCACTATCGATCGCTATCAGCATGCTTTTTTATGAACCATTAACCAGTACACATATATAACCAGTTATAAAGAAACTGTAACGAAATTAACCAAAAATATGTGAACTAACCCAAACTAAGGCGTCCACGTAATGCGTACCAGTCCTTGTGTTGATATTTGAATTTGAAAAAACAAACGCGCTTTGCGCGCCTTGTTAACCAGTAATTTATAACCAGTATTAAACGAAACTAACCAGAAATATGCAAACTAGCCCAAACTAACCCGTCCACGTAATGCGTACCAGTCCTTGTGTTGATATTGAATTTGAAAAAAAAAGCGCGCTCGCGCGTTTTGTTGTTAACCAGTACACTTATAATCATTATTAAACAAAACTAACCAGAAATATGCAAACTAGCCCAAACTAACCCGTCCACGTAATGCGTACCAGTCCTTGTGTTGATATTGAATTTGAAAAAACAAGCGCGCTTCGCGCGCTTTGTCGTTAACCAGTACACTTATAACCAGTATTAAACGAAACTAACCAGATATATGCAAACTAGCCCAAACTAACCCATCCACGTAATCCGTACTAATTCCTTGTGTTAATATTGAATTAAAAAAAACGAGCGCGTACACCAGTACCTCGACCAGTACATTGAAAACCAGTATTCAGCCTTATTCACGTGTCCGCTTGTTTATTGAAATTTTCCAATATTGGATATTGAGACATCTCAATATTGAATACATTTCTTATTCACGTGTACCCCTTGAAAACGGGATTGTTGGAAATTGGAAAACTGTTATTTAATTGAATAAGTAAACGCGGCAACACTGTAAAATTGTCAAAAACCTCTAAAATGTAACCTCACTTTTCACTTTGTTGTTTATTTACAAAGTTAGTTGTTTATGAGTTGAGTTTATTTATTTATTTTACTGTCTGATTTGATGATGGAGAAAAAACGAACATCGAAAAAACAGTTTGGACTTTACATAAAGTTCGTAAAAGAAAATCCAGTTTTAATTACGGGAAAATTGCAACCATCCGGCAATCCCAAAGATCTGGAGGTGTTGTGGGATGAATTGAGCAAAGTCCTCAACTCCTGTGGGGACGGACCCATTAGGGAAACAGCTTCCTGGAAAAAGGTAAGTAATCAACTTTTTAATTAATAACAATAAATATTGAAATTTGTGTCCTTCAAACAAATGTAATTTATTTTGGACCTATTTAAAACACAATAATCTTAGGCTTGCTTGATGTTTTTGCTGCTAAAAATGACAAAATACAAAAGTACCACTGACTTGCAGATATAAGTGTATCGTGTATCTACTCTTTACAACAAAATCTAAAAAAAAACTAAGAAAACATTTATTTATAGTTCATCATCAATATAAAAAAACATTATTGTTCATCCTAGGTCTTCACTGAATGGAAAAGTGCTTCAAGGAAAAAGGCAAGGGAGAACAAACAACTCTCAGAGCTGGAAGAAGAAATTCTTACAATAACAGGTCGGGGTGCTGTCAGTGGTTTGGATGTAAGAGAACTAGGAACTGAAACAACTGAAACAGAAGATAAGTTGCCCAAGAAGGAAAAAATTCAGAGTGGCCCTTCTAAAGTCAAGGTATGCGAAACAAAAAACAATATTTTTCTTATACTTGTGATCCTGAGCACCACCCTTAAAATATTATTTACAGTGCTTAGATAATATTGTTGGACATTCAAGTGATGAAGCCAAGGATGAAGCTTCATCTAGTAACAGTGAGCCAAAAAATGTTCACAAGGAGAACATCCCAAAGACAAGTAAGGGCCATTTTTTTTTATTATCGGTTAAAAACCTGTTTATATTCCTTTCTGAGTTCAACGTTGCCAAAAATTAGGTTGCATTCAATTTTTTATTGGTGTTTTTTTTCTGTATATATATGTTACAGACCTTACAGAGCAGACCTTCTGGACCTTTTGTTTTAAATTATAGAGCCAAAGAAAAAACGTACAGGGGATGTGCTTTGTGACACATATGAAGCAGCCACAAATGAGACCTGTGAGAAATTGGAGGGAATTAGCTTAGCAATATTAGAAGTAGCCAAAGCTATCAATCGTTATTGTGACATTGTCGAAGCTTCCAACCAAACAATAGAATATGTAGATGAACAAAATGCTGAGGAAGTAGAAGACGAGGATAATTATTAATTAATAATTTATTATTAACCATTGTAGTATTTATAATCCTAGAGACCCAAAGAATTTATTTTTTCGTTTTTTTTTGTTGTTAATTTTTAGAATTTTTTTTTTATGTTGTATTATTAGGTATATTCTGTTATCATTATTATTTTGTGTTTTTATGACACATTAATAAATTTGGTACGTGTTAAATATTTTATTTCATATAGGTAACTAGAACTATATTCTCTATGTTCACAAAAACAATTTTTTGGATGTTTCTTAACACAATTACTTTTGGAAAACATAGTCAGTTTAGTTATGCATTTTAAAATTAATTACTTTTAGGGACTTCAAAAATGAACTATGAACAATATGAGATGTATATAGATTATTTGGGGAAAAAAGAAAAGAATTTAAGTCAACTATGTGAACATCTGAATGCAGTACCTGGCGGCTCTAAAAAAAATTTACGTGAGTGGCAAGAGGTATGATAAGTTATTGTCAAGTTAACATTATAAAATAAACCAATCCAAACCATGTTACTAATTTCAGTAATTTTCAGGCATTTTCAAATTGGCAATGAGCTGTAAAACATAAAGCAAGAGCGATTTACGTTAGTCAACACCTCACAGGAGGTGGATTCCCCACACCCAAAATATTAACTGTTTTGGAGGAAAAGCTTTTGTGTATTATAGGTATACTGTGCATTCATGGCATGTTAGTACCTGAATTAGGATTTAAAAATCCGGTATGTATTTTTTCAAGAAATGCTTCGAAAGTCTACTCTCCACTTTTAAATATCTATGTGTTTCAGAATCCATCAAGAAACGTTATTAAAAAAAAGAGAACTCCAAAGAAAACCGTAGTATACCAAATCAAGAAGTCTAAAATTAGAGAAACAAAATTACAAAAAAAAATTCTTTCTTCCTTAAAATATAATGTAAAAATGGTAAAAAAAAAATTAAAATTACTTGTTGAATCAGTTTGGAAGCTGGCATATGCAATGAAAAGAATACTAAAATTATTGTTAGACAGTAAGTTCAGTTTTTAGTATTAAAGTCTATGGTATTAAGTATGTATTATTTTTAAATAAAAATAAAAAAGTACCTGAAGATCCTGATTTTTTATGCTCCATGAATTCAGTTGCCAAGCGATCTAAAAACTAGGAAGGAATAAAAGACTTTAGTGAATAAAATAAAAATTTACTTAGGTACCTACTGAATTATTATAAGGTTACCTATAGGTAGTAATATTTTACAGATAAAAATCGTCAGTGCCCTATTAGCAAGCCTATTGGGTATGTGGAAAAAAACTGTATTCTATGCTATCTATATTATAGGTACTACATATTGTAAAAATAATCTCGAATAATTCTATCTCTAATTATTTGTCCTTCATTGCGATAATTTTGACCTAAATCTAAATTATCTATGTCAATAATTGGATCATCATGCTCCATCTGATCTCCATTAGGTTCATCCATATCATCAATGAAATCTCTTCTTTCAATCAATATGTTGTGAAGAATGGCACAGGCATTTACCAACTTTGCACTTTTTACTGGGCTATAGTGAAGTGCCCTATGACCAAAACAACACCTAAATCTTGATTTTAGTATCCCAATAACCCTTTCAATAAGGTTTCTTATTGTTTTAAAATTGGTATTGAATCTTCTTTGTCCCTCATTCAAATTGTTTCCCACTATTGGTGTAACTAACCACGGCTCTAGTGGATAACCACTATCTCCAAGAAGCCAAGAGGATCTGTCACCATCCAAAAAGTTTTGCATCAAATGCATTCTAGGTAAACTTGTGCTCCATACAGCTGAGTCATGCACACTCCCTGGGTACCTTGCATTGATTGCTGAAATTTTGTAATCTGCACCACATATTAATTGTACATTTAAACTATAGAAGCCCTTTCTATTATAAAATAGAATTCCAGGAAAAACTTCATCTTCAGCTGGAGGAGCTTGAATTTTTATGTGGGTACCATCAATTATCCCAATGATACCTGGAATGAGAATGTCAATCATTAGATAAAAGGAAAAATGGAATTTCATTATTCCAAAATCATTTTCAGAAATAAAAAGTGTAGGTAGGTATTCAAAATGTTTGACTTTGATCCTAAGCCCCACTTTGAATGCCTCCTCCATTTACTAGTGACTAGTGGTAATTTTTTGTTCGAGAGTGAATGGAGAAACAGGTGAAAACACTTTTTGCAAGGACACAAACAGGCAGCTGGAAAGTTTTTTTAACATGCTTCTACAGAGATTATTCATAAAAATCGTTTACCAACAGCAGTTATCATCATCATTAGTATTCTACTCACCTGGAAACCCATCCAAATTTTGAGCAAATTTAAGCTTTTCTTCATTTTTTTCTTGATCTGTGGTAGGAAAGTGAATTTTGTGGCCAAAATGATTGTTTAGGATGTCAGTTACCAAGTCAAGACTTCTACTGACAGACGCTTGGCTCATAGGGCAATTGACATCTTGTCCTGTGGACTTTTGATAAGTGCCCTGAGCATAAAAATGCAATGCACTTAAAATAATTAGAGATTTTGGGATGCCATGCGGACGTTCTGCATCTGGAAGAAATTGCCCAATTTCCTCAATTAGATATCTTGCAGTATTTTTTGAAAACCTGTAGATATTTTTAAAAATATTTTCTGGCAAATCCAGAGGGTTGCTTGTTTCCCGAAGGTTCTTCTTTCTCTGATTGTGTTCAAGTCTAAAAGTATAAATACGATCATAGTTATCCAAGGCACTCTCCTTGTTGATTTTCTAATATACGATTTTTTTATAGCTCATACCACTCACCAGGAATAAAGAGCTTCCTTACCTTCGATTTTCTTCTTCTAATGCTGCAATTAACAACGGAAAATTATCCATAATTGAAAATAAAATTACCACAGTCACTTCTAAATTGTAAACATAACACAAAAACCAATAGATTTCCAATATCCAATCTGATAAGCCGGTGCCTGAACCACCTGCTTACAAAATATGAAACACTGAAAACTGTTATTGGAAAATATGATACACCTGAATAAGAAATTCGATGTCAATTTCAATAACCAATATGTCATTCAATAACCAATATTCAATCCGACAACTAAGGAGCACCTGAATAACAATCCACCATGTTTTTACAGTTTTCCAATAACCAAGGCAATAACCAATATCCAAGGACACACGTGAATAGGGCTGATTAAATGAACTGTAATGAAACTAACCAAAAATATGCAAACTTACCCGTCCACCTAGTCCTTAGAAATTGATACAAAAATAATGAGCATTAGGTGGGTCTATGCCTTTTCCTTAACTAAAACGTAGGTATTATATTGTAGGAAACTAAATATTCTGCACTTTTTTTGAAGTGATATCTAAATGGAATAATTGCCAAATAATTCCATACAAAGAAAAGATAGGTAGTTTAACGAGAACAAGCATCAACTCAACACAGAGAAATAATTTATTTCTTGAAAACTACTGAATAATCCGCAAAGGACCCCGCAATATTTAAATGGAAATTGGTTAGCCGTGATATTTGGATGAAATTTAAATATGTTATTGGGAATGCCGTAAGCAACATTTTTTACCATGGGCACAACCCTGTATATATGACAGGTGAGGCGTGGTTGGCTGTCAAATATTGAAATCTTATATCCAAAAGCAGAGTAACTATGGCAGATATTGATGAACAAAAAATCTATTTCTACTAAGTCGACCAAGTTAAGTCGAAAAATGTCAACCGTTTTAATACCTGTCAAAACCGTGCCAAACGGCAGCACTTATCTTTTCCAGTTTTCAATATTTTATGTTGTCATTTGACATTTTCAACTTATACGTAAATTCTGAATTCAAAAATTGAAAAAAAAAGACAGCTGTCAAAATATGACGTGTATGAACTTTGTTCAATGTTTTATCACCAATAAACTACTTTAAAACGAGAAAGGACCAAATTAGAGTATTTTTTTCTACTAAAACAAATGACAGGTTTTGACAGTTCTGTCTTTTTTTTTTCAATTTTTGAATTTAGGATTTATATATAAGTTAAAAATGTCAAATGACAACATAAAATATTGAAAATTGGAAAAGATGAGTGCTGCCGTTTGGCAGGGTTTTGACAGGTGTTAAAATGGTTGAAAATTTTCGACTTAACTTGGACGACTTATGGGCGTTTGCACCGACCATTTTAAGGGAGGTTTAACGATAGTCAACGTTTAAAGAGACATTTTTACATGTAAAAACGTCACTTTTAAACGTTGATTATTGTTAAACCTTGCTTAAAATGGTCGCTGCAAACGGCCATTAGTAGAAATAGATTTTTTGTTCATCAAAATCTGCCATAGTTACTCTGCTTTCGGATATAAGATTCCAATATTTGACAGCTAACCACGCCTCACCTGTCATATATACAGGGTTGTGCCCATGGTAAAAAATGTTGCTTACAACATCCCCAATAACATATTTAAATTTCATTCAAATATCACGGGTAACCAATTTCCATTTAAATATTGCGGGGTCCTTTTAATTTTCTTTAATACTATATAAAAAACCCTCTTTCTTATAGAATTTAAAATTTTGCAAAATTCGTGTGTCCGTAAAGTGTACCGGAGCCCTGGATAGACTAAATTATTCTAAGATTAGAAGCCGTGTTTGTAAAAGTTTTCAAAAATATAGACCATTGCTGGTTGGCATTGTTTTTCTCTATTTCACGAATTTCCACCCAATCCTACTCCTCCAATAGTTTTGAAAACCTTTTTTTATTAAATTCTGTTAAATAGTATATTATGCAATGATCATGTAATGATAGCCATTAATACACGAGCATGTTGTAGGATACGAAACGATCCGCAGGCGAGTTTCGTATATAACATGCGAGTGTATTAATGGCCATTACATGAGAGTTGCATACACTATTTTTTCTACTTGCATTAATGAACGAAAAACATATTTTTTTTATAAGAATAGTAAACTTCTCAACTGGTGACAACTGTTGACAACTTGACAATTTCAAAAA